GATACTCGAGCCAGTCTTCTGAGCTAGGACAATAGACGTGGGGCAACAGGAAATAAGATCAGTTATGAAATTCTAGTAAGAAACCACCTGGGTTGATAATCTGGGACTATAACTGGAACTCTAGAGATGCTGAGGGCCAGTCTGAGAATAACCTGGTCACCTTCTGCAGCATCCAACATTGTTACAGAAGTCACTGTGGAGTCCCTTCATTTCTAGGCTTACACATGACCTGTGTGACCCCTATTTCCACTGCCCCGGTTTGCTGTGAGAGGTGCACACACCCCTGCCTCTTCCAGTAAGCAATGGATACTGCTTGGCTTTAGAGGCTCATGTCAGAGCATAGAAGATGCCAAGTATAGAGGCTTCTGGCCCAGGTCATACCTATAGGTGGTACCACAGGAAGCCCTATGCCCCTCTATCCTGGATCTGTGTACCCATCTCTGTGAATCCGGACATGATGGATCTGGAGTTTCAAATAGTAACATTTCTGGAGAGGTCAGGACTGAGAGAAGCATTCATTGATGTCTGTATCACCCTACACAGAGTAACTCCAAAACTGCCTCCTTATTTGGTGTAGTTTTAAGATGTGCTGTTGTAAAAAAAGGAAATGCTTAAAAAAAAAAAAAGTAGGTGGAAGTCTGAGATGCAACAAGAGCTGGTGGCCAGAGTTGATGTTGGAAAAGGTGATGATGGGCACAGAACTTGCTGTGTTTGCTACCTGTGTGTGTGTTCAAGCCTTTTCTAATGCAGCACTGTTACGATGTGATGAGGCCATGAAAAGCTGATCACTATTCCCTGCATTCTTTGGACACTCCTGAAGTTTCTGTTCTTGCAACCGCACTTTGAAGTCTTTGTGGGCCAGATCCAACATCTTGGCCCACAGCTTTTTTCTGACCTTTTGGTAAATGTGGGTCATACTTTCTTCTTAACATTTCTCATTATCTCTGGTTAAAAACTGCACAATTTTGGTTATAATGAGGCAACTACTGACCTCTGATCTATATATTCCTTTTAGCTTGACTAAATTATTTAATTTGGGCAGTTTGTCTCACCACAGGAAAGCATAGCTGTTCCTCAAGCTCAGTTTTACATTCTTGCTTGTATTTCTAGTCTGATTTCCCAGGGTCAGTCCTCCTGAGATCAGTAGTCAGCCATGCTTGCTCTTGCCCAATCTGCAGAGTCCCTGCGGCTTCCACACACAGCAAGTGGAGCAGCCAATCAGGTCCACATCATATTGAGATCTCTCTCCCAGTCAGGCTTTGTCTGTCCCCTGCAACTTGTGACTTCTTCCTACCCAACAGTGCAACAACCCAGACTAGCTACTACTCTCCCTGGCAGGGTTGCAGTGGATTCCTGCTAGCCCACCACCCTTCTCCTGTCTTCCTTACCAGCCCTGAGCCAATACCATTCTGCACCAAAGATGCTGGTTTTCATGATAAGCTCAGAGGTTTGGGTGAGAGGAGCCACAGCAGGAAGGTCCCAGATTCCAAAAGTTCTTACACAAAACCCAAGAGCTTTTCAAAAACTGTTTTCAGCTTCTTGATTGCACTTGTAAACTTTTGGCAATTCCCAGAGGCCCCAGTGGTTGCTCTTTTAACAAGTTAGTTTGCTTTCTGCAAGAAGGACTGGTTGATCTCTTCATAATGGCCATCCAGGTTCCCCTAATAGCTGGTATTTCACACACACTGGAGATTGACAGAAGGGTAAATAAATCTCAGCAAGTAAATCTGATGTCCAAAGTAGGAAAGAAGAGGCATGGACAGGCAGATCTACACAAGATCCTATTTCAAAAACAACACAACAACGTGGTTGGTTAGGAGTGCTGAGCGCTCTTCCAAGGGACTCAAGCTCAGTTCCCAGCATTCATACTGGCTGGCTCACAACCATCTGTAACTCTAGCTCCAGGGGATCCAACACCCTCTTCTGGCCTCTGTGTGTGCAGCATACACTGTAACACATGAATAAAAGTCTTCAAAACCAAAAATTTTTAAAAATGATCAAACAATCAAACAAACAAGAACAAAGAGAGCAAAAGGCAGACTGACTGGAAAGAGGGAAGTCTTCGTTTCTTTTCTTTCTTTTTTTTTTTTTTTTTTTTTTTGGTTTTT